ACATACCAAGCCTTAGCAGACTATCACAATATCTGGGCATTCATATAATCAAGTAAAATTATGACGACGTGTCTGCAATCCATTATCAGACGCATACCATTCTGGCTCTAAGTTGCACACGCATCGCCTGAATGTTGACTACTTCATAATCATGTCCCATAATTAGACAGGCGTGTAATTACATATCAGCAAATAACAAGCATGGACAATCTTGATGAATACTCATAACTAATATATTGTATTACACGCCGAACCTGGTTTTGCTGATGTGCCCACCTCTTGCCTGGCCCCCTCGTGAATTTGACGGAACACGACAATTTCCCCAGCGGATCCATACCCGACTCAATATTCCACGGATTCAATCTTGGCGGAAGCAATATACAGCAAAACCAATATTGATAGACTTCCCTCGCAAAGTACAGGTAGGCGGCATGGAGCATAGCGGCGCTCGGCACCTCGGGGGCTACGAGCCCTCATAGGCCTCATACCTCAGAGATCTTGGCAGTGTTGTTCACGGCAGCCATATATAGTATGTAATCCACGCCGATGTCTCGATTTTCGTCTATTTGTCGAGGTCTGGATCGTCGCTCTCTGCTTCTGCAAGCAAAGGTAGACAGCGACGAACTCTGCGATACCAGTAGCTTCCTTTATTTGACCATTAGTCATGGAGCCAGACATGTGTACACGGAATCTCTTCTGAGGAGGGATATATCGTCCATTACTGACCATGACGGCGAAAGGAGGGGATTACAGCGAGCGTCCACCTCACGATCCTCATTTAGTAGCCCATCGGCCACCCGTCAACATCTCCACACCACTGCCGAGGCCCGAGTCCTGCCGCGAGCTTCTACCCCATCTTGCTTCAATGTATGCTTCGCGAGGGAAGGTCTGTAAATACTGTTATCCGTGTACACTGAGCACGCGCCGGCTATGGTGACAGAAAAACCAGTGTCCGTGACGGCAATACTGCAATCACTCTTCCTACCACAGTGCTGACCAGTGTTGCGTATCTGACACCCGGCATTGAGCGTGCGTATAAGCAATCACAAGCAGGCAACTCACCGTCATAGTCGTTTGAGGAGTTCTGGATCAGGGAGCAAACATGTGCCACTACTCGCTCTCCCGCGTCACATGAAACCGACTGGGCCATCCTCCCCGCTCCGCTTCCACCAATTCGCCACCAGGACACAGGATCGCTAACAAAGTCAACCTTTCCATTTTGATCCCATACGAGCCGCCGGAAGGCGATCGAGCAGAGTCGCAGCGCTGGGACAGTGAGGCTGAGTAGATTGGGTAGCATGCTCAGCGCGTACGTCTTGGTTATTTCCGAAGGCTGGACAGCACTAGTGTGTCTCGAGCTCTGTCTGATCACACTGTCAATGCGGAGCTGCACATATATCGCTTTGAGGTCCTTGAATGCAGAGAGCGAGTTCTATAATTGTGGTGTACAAGTTGGTATCCAGCGTTCCGGTAGAAGCCGAGAAATAGGCTCACACTCCAGCGTTGTAGAGCGCGTAGTGTCTCAGCGGAACCACCGATGGTTTCGAGGTTCATGGTGAGTTCAAGAATTCGAAGTCTCGGTAGAGCCTCAACTACTTGCTCCCAAAATTGAGGGTCTGCGCCTGCAGTCACCCCCATCGACAATCTAATGGGTGAGGCATTCTTCAGTATTTGAATTACTGCCTCTCGCTGATGTTGCCCATATGACTACAGCGAGGATGTTATCAGGTGAGTAGACATCTGCTAGTCAGGCGCATTAAATTCGTACCGGGTTCCCGAGGACGATGATGACGCGCAGCTCGATATGCTTGGTGGGACATATCGTCGGCCAACACGACAACGAGTAGGCGTCTCCGCGAACATAATCCAGAGATGCCCATATAGGCCCTTCCGATTTGTACACAGGTTTGCAGTCATACACGTCGACTTTGCGCACCTCGGGAAACGCCCGCGAGAGTACGTCCATGCGCATTGGTTCGACATTAGTCAAAACGATTTTGCGGACGGAGTGAAGTGCTCTGGCCAGACTCGTCGGAGCGGTTTGTGTCCTGTCCAACCGCCGGAGCCGAAATCCGATTTTAAATTTGTGTTATACAATCGA